ATGAAAAAATGCAAAAATTATGGCATTGATATTTTTAATGAACTGTTTTAAATACACAGTCTCACTGGCTTTTTATGGAGTGCTATCTCAGTGCTGACAAAAGTTGAATGGATGCGTCAGGGCTGTGTAGCAGGGAGGCTGTGGAATCAAGCAACTCTGAAGATGAAATTTCAAGCTGGGAGTTGCATGTGGTAGATTAATGGTATGATGCTTAGTTAATTATTTTCCTGGAGAATTAGTTTTTTGTACCAGATTCTGCTGTGGCCTTGCTGAGCAGATTTTCATCCTTTATCAGGAATACTCACTGCCTAAGTTGTCACTCTGAGGTCTCCTCCTTCTGCTAGAGGCTGAGGTCCCAGAGTTGCTCAGTCTTCCTAGCTGCAACTGAGGTAAATGCAAGATGTGCCTTGAACATAATGCAGTCTACACTGAGAATTAAACAGGTCCTTGTCACCACCATTTGGGCATCCTAGATTAATGAATATTTCTTAGTGTAATCTGTGTACCTCTACTCCCCATTCGAAAATGGGCTATAACAGGTTTTTGAGAAAATGAATTCATTAATATTTGTTGTGATTTGTGGAAAGCTGTCATTGTTGGTAGCAAGTGAAAAGCCTATGAGGAAATAAATAATTCTCATTTCAAAGCTTTGAAGAACTCACTATGTTGAATAAAGTATGAGGCTGCAGAGTAAAGATTGAGGAGAAAACAAAGCACTGAGCAGCTGTTCATGAAGTGAGCTTCTTTATCCTGTATATGCAATGAGGCAGCACTTGTGGAAAGAATTGCACGTCACGTTGACGACTGTAGCATGACGCATTCACCAGGAGCCATTACTTTTCCATAGACTATTTCATTTGACAATTCCTAACTTTGGATGCTTGCTTCTGTAAAATTAGTATTTTGCTAATGAAAGCTTTTCTGTCTAATCATTCTAAGTGGTAATAGTTTGGAAGCATAGTAGCTGATGTGCTTCAGGCTTTTCATGGTTAGAATGCAGCAGGAAAGCTAACGCAAAGAGGGGGATTGCAGACTACCCTTGGTGGGATCCTTATGCTTTCCTGCCATGCATCTACAATTACCTGCTGTTAGCTATGTGACAGTGGACTAGATGATTCTCTGTGGCTGAACTGTAATGGTAATTTCTGTGTATCGGTGGGGTTTTGCTACTATTTTCCTTTTGCTGGCAGTGCATTTATTCTGAGTAAAGGGGCTGGAATTGGCTAGTATAGTGCTGGCAATTCTCTCTATCAACAGAAAAATTCTCTTTGCTTGTAGATTTGCTGGCCAGCTGTTTAAACTACTTCAGAGAAAATCAAAGAGTTAGGATTATTGCCACTTTTAGACATAAACACACAAACCTAATGATGATCCTACTTTGGCAGGGGGGGTCGGACTAGATGATCTTTCAAGGCCTCTTTCAACCCCTAACATTCTGGGATTCTGTGATATGTAAACTTTACATAGATGTGGTTATTACTTGTAGTTCTTTTCAATATCTCCCTTTCTTGTGACGGAATATTTGTATTTATTTTGACAGTGTCAATATAATACTCCATTCTAGAGACAGTGCATCTAGTTTAACCTTTGGATTTTTGCTGAACTTGCTAGTTCATCATTGTCTTGCTGCAGAATGTGTTTCTCTTTCTAATTTTTTTTTTTTTTTAAAAAGAGTACAGTTTGTTTTGGCTTGTTTGGTTTTCATTTTAAGTTACAGATACAAGTATGTATTTTTTTACTTTGTTTCTCTGTCCTAAACATTGTTGCAATTTTAAGACAGAGAGAAAGGGGAGATAGCAAGGATTATCAGAGTCTCCATGTACAGCAGAGACAATAAATTGTATCATCTTTTTAGCCTTCATTTCTGCACCAACTGGTATTAACTTTCTGGGAAGTGCTCTGCCTTGTATGCAGTCATGATAATGTACCAGAAGATAAACTTTATTTCTTTCGCTATTCTTGCTATTTGGAATGACCTAAGATTGAAGTGCAGATTGAAGTAGATACTGCTAGATGCAATGTCAGTATTGACACACCTTAGCAAAGAGGAAGCTTGAAGCAAAATTTTTCCTTTCTTTATGTTTTTCTCCTTGAACACTTGCATATTTTGGAGAAAAGAACCTTTGATGCAGACCTTGAAATTCAGAATGCATCATCTAGTTACTTAAAACTATTGTACATGCAGCCATGCTGCTGCAATCACTGCTGAAGAGCTCTTGTGGAAATTATAATCTGTTTCCTAAGGTGTCCAGCGAGCTTGAATACACTGTGTTCTCTCTTGAAGACCTAGGAAGGGAGATGTGATTGTGTTACTTTTCTGCAGAGCAGTAGAGTTTATAACAGTAAATGCACTTGGGAAACCTGTAGTATTCTGAGAGATTTGAGATTTGGAGCTAATCCTTGAGAAGCTGTCTCTAGGCTGTAGTGTTAAACTGTATTCATAAAATACCATGATTTAATTTTGAAAAGTGATTAAAAGCCTATGGTAGGTAAAATGCTGGTTTAGAGATAGTTAGCCTATTAATATGGAAGACAAATCTAGGTTTTTGGCTGAACCTGGACACTAGGGCTGAAAAGATGATTTGGATGAGATAGAAGTTGAAGGACCTGCCTATAACAGTGAAGACCCATGCTGGAATTAGAATAGACAGCAGGATTCCCAAATGCAGGATGTTTCTGCTCTCCAGATGCTGCTACTGCATACCTGAAAGACATGTTGTCCTTATCAATGATGACAACCTGCCACTTCTGCCGGGTACTCTGTTAGGCCAGCTTACAAAGATCAATATGGTAGACAGGGAGGCTGACGGACATCAGCGTGTCACGTCACGTCTACATCCTGAACACTGCATTATGGAATTCATGTCATTCTGATATTTTTTGTGTGCTAGAAGTACAAAACCAAGCAGATAAACCTCAGGTAAGGTATAGACAGGCAGCAGATTACAATAATAATGTTGTTTTAAAGCAAAGTTTAGCACTGAAAAGTTAGGCAATGCCAAGATCAAGACTGTTGAATTTTTCAGTATCTATTAATGGGGTCCTTTCGATACATGGTCAAAGCTTCATTTTGTTTGCTATGGAATTGCAGGTGTCAGAATGAGAAGTGCAGTGATAACACTCTTGATTTCTCTGCTGTGATGGTCATGTGTTGTGTTAGGCCATTTAAACCATACTTTTTAAAGCTGTAATTCTCTGGTGACTCAGCATGAGACATCTGGGTTATAATCAGAGCTGCAACTGGAGTCAAATGAATGGATAAAAATAACAGGTGCTCTGAAAAGAGATGACGGTGATGTATTTTTGTTCAGTGTCCTATCTATAAAATAGAACACTAATTCAGTTGATACAATTGTGTGTGAAAATAAGTTCATTAATATGCACAAAGCACACAGTTACAAGGAGTATTCTGTTGATGACAGAGCTAAATGAGAGGACTTATCCTCTTCCTCTGTTGCCTGCCCTAAATGACGGATTTTCCACGAAAAGTAATATTCCTGCTTCAGTGTATTGGTTGAATTACTTGTTGTCCCTAACTGGAATCTGTGTAGTGATCTGAGAGAAAACTAACAAAACTAAGGCACACAGGGCAGGAATGGAGCTGGAGGCATGCCAGGGATTGTAATCTCAGCCTGGTTTGCTGTTGATGAAGTTCTGTAATGGCAGTAAGGGGAAAATAAGAGGTGAAATGGCTGGTTGTTCACTGAACATTCTCGATTACATGTGCTGAAAGACACTGGTGCAGTGGAAAGATGGCTTTTGTGAGATCTCTTTCTTTGCTTGTCATTAGCTCTTATGGGAGCCTTCTAAATGAGCTGATGTGCTGTTTCTCATACTGCTGTACAGCTAGAAGACACGCGGGGGCAGGAAGACAGAAGAACTCTGCACATGTCGTTGGGAATCTCCCCCCTTCTGACCTCCATTGCCTTTTTTTTTCTTTTGTATGGTCAATAATTTGTTGGTCACGTTTGTTGTAGTTTATCTTGGTCACAACATAAAGATACAGAGACCAATATTACTGTATAAACACAGTTACTGTCCAGTAGCTTAAAATAAAGTTTTGATAAAAGTGTTTAAATGTTACTGCACTTGTAAGTTTATTACCTTGTAGGATAAACAGTATACTTCAAAGCAGCTGCTTATTTGTAGAACAGTTAGTTCCATAACCTCATGTAAGATCATGTTGTTTGGCGCTAGCAATGGATCCATAGAAATGACTGCTGGTGTGGGACAAAGGATTTTTCATGGATGCAATATATGCCTTGAGATTAGAATTTCTGAGACAATAATGTTGCTGAACTAGCTGGAGCATGCACACACAAACACACACACACAAAATACTGAGAAGGGAAAGCACCTGTGACACTCACTGAAGAGACCTGCACCATTGGCTGAAGATAGGGAGTAACACAGTAAAAGAAGATCAGCCATTGAATGCTAAGGGAGGAAGCGAGCCTTTCAGCAAAATATCGTATCAGATTTGCTTGGATCATGAAAGCTTTGTGTGAGAATATATTTTGGGAACTCCCTTAAGTACATTACAAAGTCAGTTACTTGATTATTTGGTTTCTTTGATCTAATGGCAGTTTTAGGAAGCCAGTGGCCCACAAGAAATAATTAAGGGATTGCAGAAATAATTAAGGAAATGTAGATTAATGTAGCATCCCAATATTCAAACTTCATGGAAAATCTCATTGCATATAGAGGGAAGAAGATAAGTTTTGAATCCCAGAGCATTTAACCATCAGTTCTTCAGAGTGTTTGCTCTAGTTTAAGACCCCAAACAGCTGACCATTCTGTGACATTTATGCCTGTCTCTGAGGCAAATAGGCTGTTGCTATTCTAGCTTTATTTCTAGCACCCAGGTGTGAGTTGGTGTTTACAGTCAATAGGAACAATTTATGTAGGAAAGAAACGAGAATGTTTGATACTGTTATTATATACTCTAATGAGATTTTTAATTAAGCCCAAATAAAAGCTCCTTTCTTTCCTGGTTTTAGCATCTCTCTTACGGCAATGGTAGCTTACATGTTGATGCAGCCTTCCAGCAGACGCTCTGGAGCGTAGCACCGATCAGTTCAGGAAGTGAAGTTGCCCAAGGTAAGATTTACTCAACTTTAATTATTGCAAGGCTGATTGTAAATGAGATAGCTGAAAAATTAAATTATTCTTTCAAGTGTGGGTGTGGGTTTCTCTTGTGTAAACATCCTATCGATTAAGTAAATGTACATATGTTCTGAAAACAGAGGGAAAGTTATAGTCGAAGTGGTATACACAGTTTTCCTTATAATTTGTTTTTAAATATTGAGTAGCTCATTCAAATCTCATTTTGCTAAAAGTATGTTAACATTCACAACATTTTGATCCTTGTTTAAAATATTATTTCAGATTATTCTGATGTATGCAGTCATGGTTACATGTTCCTGAGACTGAGGAAAAAATGGGCAAGAGAACTAGAAGCAGGATGTGAAATCTTGAGTTAAGACTGGGAATGGCTTTGAGGGGAGCATATGGTTGGGAAGAAAAACAAAATGAGAGGAAAGACAGAAAAAGATAGACTAGAACAACTTTCAAAATTTATTTCTTTTATTTAGGAATTAGGAAGAGGTGTTTTTTAATACAACTTCTGACATGAAAGGACAAGGATCTCTGAATTTATGTCCTGCGGGTTCCACAGAGAAGAATTTTTTGTTTTCTGAAAAGTGTCTCATGATGTAAAGCCTATTGATTTCTAGTTTGCTGCAGAACAATTGTTTTCACCAAGTATTGTAATAGGACTTTAAGAAGATTAAAGCTGCAGGTCCTTTCTTTCTCACTTCCTGGGACTTTTGGGTACTATTTTTTAAAAAAGACATTACACTGAAATTTCACACCAGCTCTTTTTATCTGGCTTATTTTAAAACACAGTTTTGGAATTTTCTTGCAGATTTAATCATTCAGATTTCAGGGAGAGCATTGCCAACACGTCCTTTCTATATATCCACTGTATTTTTAGACTAGGAGAACCATTCTGAACATTCAGATTCTCTGACATGATTTCTGTTGCAATTGATTATTAAAAAAAATGTTAGCACATTGCTTAACAGTGTCCTAAACTTCAGGGAGAAAAACTTTTCTGTTGATGAGAGGAGAAAACCTTCTTTAATCCACTCTTCTGCACCTTCCCGTAACTCCATTCTCTTTGTCCTCTGGCTGCTGGCAGCACTGCAGTGGCATACATGTTAATAATCATGGTACAGTTTGTTAGCTGAGTCCCAGATTTGTGCTGTGCCACATCTCTCTGGTTGCTGAACCTCACTAGTGAGACTTGCCTGGCTGATTGGGAAGCAGAAGTCCACATGATACTGTCATGTTAGGCACTCACACCCCCAGGAAATCATGTGAAAATGATGTAATATGATTTCAGCAGCTGTGCATTTCTCTGAGTTGCTATGCTTTTTCCATTTTCACTTTTCTCAGGTATAGACATTACCTTTCTTAAGCAGTGTCTTTCCTAGAGAAGATCAGCTGGCTGGTGTCAGAAAGAATTAGAGCAAAGGCTTTATTCTAGCAAAATTGGCAAATGTTCCTGTATTCGAAGTTGTCTTCTTGTGAAGGGAGAGTGAATCCGACACTTAATGTCTAAGATGTTGCTCTGTATGCCTCAGTAAAACTGTAGCCAAATTCGAGAAAATTACCTCAAAAATGGCGAAGAGAAAAATAAACCAAATTTTGATACTATCTGCAAAATGCTTTGTCATCTTCATAAGATGTTTGTCTGTAGAAAAAACTATAATACCATCTCTCAATCAAAACTTCCCATTAAAAATAGATTTCTAAGTTAAACACTTGAGTTAAGTGAGAGCACTTTGTAGAGAAAATAGTGGAGAAATAGTCCATAAAATGAACTAGGTATATTGGAGGTAGATAGTTAAAAGAAAAGCACTTATTTTCATGTGCATTTCTGCGAAACTGGCTTATGCAGAAGTCAGTTTGTTTAAGTCAAAACATCTTTAGAAACAGATCAAATAATTTTGTTGATTCTGTACTGTAAAGTGGATCGGGGCACTTAAAAAACAACACAAAAAAGCTACTCAGAGCAGAACATCTCCAAAATTATACTGACACGGGTTCATATAAAAATCAACATGTAACTACTGTGTCGAAATCACGAATTTGGAAATTCGAAATTGACTGCATAAATACTAATTCGATATTGATTTCAAAGGTTTAAGAAATATATCATGAAATATTCTCTGAAGCATATTAAAGAAAAGATTTTTCTGTAGCTTCAGAATAAACTTGTGAAATGTGTAAAGTGTGACTGTTGGGTTTTCAACACCGTTTCCCTATCTTTCTTACTGCACAACATTGTTTGTTTATAGAGATACAGCTATGAAATAGTATTCCAGTAATTTTTTCTTCAAAAATCTTTTTGTTAAAACACTAAACCCAAGGAATAATATTACCAAATCCTGCTCAAATGCAGAATTTGGTGTTAACCAGCTTGAGAAAAAGGGAAGATGAGTTTAGGGAAAAACCAGGTATTTACATTTAGCTTGTCAAACTGACAAAATGCCGTTGACTTGTGGTTAAAGTCTACCGAGACTTAGAAGTCTTCATTTACTAGATTATATACAGTATTTATAGGATAATGTAAAATTAGATTTCTTTTTCTTTTCTGATGCAAAAAGATAGATGAAAGAGCATCTGTGTTGTTAATATCTTTACTGGTTAGAATGATGCCCTTATTTTCAGCTTCTGTCTGCTATGTCCTGGATCATCAAATACTGAGATGCTACGTGTATGCTTTACACTTGCCTGTGCACTGAAGGCATAGGCAATATGGACATTGCCCTTTGGAGTTGGAAGAAATTATGACTGTGGGTTGAGAATCTTAAATCAAGCAGAACTTAGAGTGGATCTTCCCAGAAGTTTTTCTCACAGAAAACTTGCAAAGACACCAAAAAGAATTTGAATGTTAACTAACTAAATATTTGTTTTCGTAGTTTATAAACTGGAATCCTTACCTTAAATCAAACCCAAAAGTGAGTAGGTAAAATTAATCTCCTGCTTTTTCTGTTGTAATCTAGGAGGGAAGTAATTGCTTTCTTGTTTCCATTGGATCAGTCTTTTTCTGAGTTGCCTTAACTCTTTAGAAACCCTGATCTTCTGATCCCCCTTTTCCTAATTGCTGACCAGAGCTTTTCTCGCTTGGCAATGTTGAGCCGGCTCTCCAGGGTACAGGATACCTTCCCCTTCTTCTGGCTCTCTTTTTGAAGTAACATAAAATAGCAACAGAAAAAAAATAAAACTGATAGTATTTATTACAGTTTGAACTATAGTTTTACATATTGCTGTGTTCAGTCAAATGCACTTCGTTTTCTCCCTTTATCTAAGGATATCTGATAGGAGGGGATGTTCTGAGGTTATTGCATGGTCACATGGACGAATGCTTGACAGTCCCTTCGGGTGAACATGGAGAAGAACAAAGAAGGTAGGTTTCTAGCTTAGATTAATGATGAATATTGCTAAATCAATATCAAGTGTCAGTACAGAATATTGAAGGATATCGTGATGCGTTGTATTACTCAGAAGAAGGACTAGTGTTGAGAGGAACGTTGGACATGAGCTTCTTGCATTTTCTTTTCAGTATTGTTCAAGTTGAATTTCACTTGCCAGGTGTAAAAGCGATTTTTGCTGTCTTACTGTTGTCTGTACTGACTTAAAAATACTGTGAATGAAATGTGTTGGTTTCTTTACTGTTGTTTTCTTCTGTACTGACAAAAAATTCCTCAGGACAGGGTATGCTAAAGCTTACTACCCACTCCTTCAAGGCTGCTAACCTGGGTAGTGATCTTAGGTGTACCTGTCATGGCAGTTTAGAACTTAATTTGTGGTTATTTTCTTGACTAAAGGAATCCTAGAATGGAAATAGAGAAGTGATGACCATTCGTTATGTGTCTCCTTCAGTTAACTAATGAATCCAAATGGTGAGAAGACTGGCACTGAAAGTGGCATCTCTCAGTGGAGTGATTACATAAGTGAATCAAAGTCCTGTTTATTTGCTTCAATAAAATATACCTTAAGCTGCTTCTCAGTTAGCCAGTGTCATATGATTTATTCCTACCTGCAGCCTGAAGATTGCTAAATGAATAATGTTGATTTTGGCATAGTTTTTTTAATGTGACATATTGAGTAGCTTTATTTCCTTGACAAAGAAAGTATTCATTCATTTCCAAATGAGTTTTCTTGGTCTGCAAATAGAAATATATATTTATTCTGTCATATTCTTATTTGTAAAGATAAGAACAAGACACTGGAAGGTCTCACAAAATATAACAATAATATTTTATGAATTTTTAAATATTAATGAGAAAAACTTCACAGTTTTCTTGGACAGCTGCTACCAACCATTCCTGGCTATTTCTCATTGTTTTTGAAAAGGCAGTAGTTTTGAACACAGGAGATACTTTAAATTGCTAAAACTTAAAATGTGAACAGTTCATGTTTTAATTTTAGTTACGGTGTGATAGATCTATTAGAGCCTGGTTTATTGCTGATTTTATTATCCTATACCCTGGAAGTGATGAAAAGGTAAGATGATAAATACATAGGATCCCACAGCATCTGCTCTAACTTCAGCCCAAGTACTGCAAAATTCCTTTTTGCAGTGTAATTGCAGGTTTGTAGAATGATCAAGCACTTCAGTAATGAACTTTAGTACTTGAGAACAGAATAAAAATCTGTTTTCAAGAAGACTTACATTATATATATAAGCCACAACAAGGAGCGTAAAGTTGCAAGTTAAGAAAAAAATCATTTGATCTGCTTGTACATTCCCATTATGTGTCTTTGTGTCCTATAACATGGGAAGAATAAGTTTCATTTCTTAAGCTGCAAAGCAGTGCTGTAAACAGACTAGATCATTATTCTTCTTTCTGCAGTGTAGTATCCCTACCCTTACCTGTGTAGTACCCTAGAAGAAGCAGAGCTAGTGAATAGCAAATCATAGTCATAGAATGGCCTAGGCTGGAAGGGACCTAAGAGATCATCTAGTCCAACCTCCCTGTTGTGGGCAGGGACGCCACCTCTCGACTAGACCTGGCAACACATGGGGACTGAGCGGGAATCGAACCCACGACCTTGGTGTCGGTCATTGTTGTCAGCACCACACTCAAACCACTGAGCTAACCAGCCTCCTACAAATTGTATCTATGTCTTTATATATCCTGATAGCAATACTGATAAACATTGCTTCTCAGTGCTTCTTAAAAAACCAGATTTGATCTTCTGAAACCTCCTTGTTGTTCAGGAGCTTTCTTTAATAAACAGAATAAAAATAAGTGTAAATTTTTAATATTCTCCTTTTCTGATGTTCTATTGCTTTTCTAAATTATTTTTAAAGATTCTTAGCAATAAACCAAGATATAGTATATGATAAATTTTACTGAATTAGATATAATTGCTCTGTGCCTCACACTGTCTCCTCTTAAATTATTAGTAAATTTAGTTATTGTTTAAAACCTCTATACTTATATCTTTAAATACGACTCTTGCCTATTCAAAATAATATCTAAAAGAATAGCTTGTGGCTTCTTACAATTTTCAGTATGTATGCATACCTTATGTTGATGGATGTTTTTTTAACTACAGGTAGAATTATATTTTTTAAAAAGTAGGTAATTTTGGCAGGTAGGAAATTGTAAGATAAATTATTTTATCTTTCACTTTAATAAATTCCATAACTTTTGCACTTAAGGCATGGAAAAGTATGATAAATTTGGAGTATAATAATTTCATTGCCTTTTGAAATAGCCTGGTGATAGATTACTGTGGTTGTGCTTGGTTTGTTTTGTTCTCGCATATGCCTGAAGAGCAGCTCTTCTCTGCAGAAGGGCAGTGTAAAGAACGCTGAGAAGTTCCATCTCTGTTGTGACTCACTAATTCCTCTATCCCATTTTTATTTTTCTGCAAAGGCCTCCTCCTTATGCCTTTTCAAATAAATAAAAGATCGGACAGTCCCAAAATAACAGTTTTATTCTATAATGTCACCTGGTAGCTAATCCTGGGAATGAAAAAGTTGTTTTGATGAGAAGGATCCTCCTAGGCAGTTTCAAAAAATAGCTGCTGTTTTTCTCTATTCTTAGAGCATTGATACAGTTACATAAATTTGAGTATAAAAGTGTCTCAAAGATTACCAGAAGCCCAAAGTAAAACACACCTTCTCAAGCTGTTTATACTCTTGTGGAACTGCGTTTAGCACAGTGGGCAGCTATGGTACAGTGACAGTGCAGATACTGTGTTCGTGATTGCAGCACTAACAAGGCTTCCTCTGAGGCAAGGCCATCCAGATCTGCGCTGGGAGAGGCCTTGTACAGTGGCAGAAATAGTTAGATAAAAAGCTTAGAAAATGCTCTTCTGTCTCTCACAGGTTGGGTTTTTTTTGAATCTGTACTGTGTTTCCTTGCTTAAATGTTGAGCTTGTGTGTCCTTCCACATGGCCCTTAAATTGTGCTGCTGTGGTCACTAGCAGGTAGGGGCGGAATCATTGTAGTTTTGGAAGAGGGACTTTGGCATAGAGCGATGAGACGTAACTGCACAGTTACCAGCTGAAATGGAACAATATTCAGGGCCAACGCTCGACACAGGCAAAGAAGGGGTTTGCCCAAGGTCATGCTGATTAGGAGGACAATTTTGTTCCCTCCTTCCAAAAACTGAAATACAGAAAGCTCCTTTGGCCGGTAATGGATAGCCATAGCTTTGGTTCTTGTGTGGGCAGCCCACTCTGTCCACTTTTCTGGCCATGGCCCCTCAATTCTGGAAGGAGCGGGAGCTGTTGTGGAGCTGCAGACTGGTAGAGCTCCTCCCTTGCCCCCTCCCTCCTGCAGGCAGTACAGAGGCAAAGTGCCTGGGCAAGCTATTGCTGATGCTGCTGTAACTTGGTACATTTAACTTGGTACATTTAACTTGGTACATTTAAATTCCCAGTGAAGATAGTACCTAGGAGAACTGGCATGCTGCTGCTATCCAGCCCAATTTGGTCAAAATGTCTAAGAAGTCTTGAGCTGTCTCTGATAAAGCTGCCTTTTATGTAGTGATACTCGCCTCTTGGTGTAACGCTAATGAGATATTATTTAGAGATTGCTTCTCTGAACTATAAATAATTTAAGACTACTTTGAGTATTTGTGCAGTGGGAGAATCAGAGAATTGATTTAAACAGATTCTTGCAGTAATAACTCAAGGAAAATAGTAAATTATGATTTTATTTCCTGAACATTTTTTCCCCAAAAAAATATCTAGCTAGAACCAGAAACCTTAAAACAAGTTTTAATAGTTATAGTGTCTTATTAACTACACAGAAGTCTCTAGACTTGGGGGCTCTTACACACTCAGAAATGTATGTTTCCTTGAGAAGTAGTTTCATGTAGCTTTTCTCTGAAGTTGATAGATTTCGTTTGCTTTGTAATAAAAAAACCATTCCATTTGGAGGCCATGCAAGTAAAGATGGTTATGGTGATATGTTGGTTTACTTCGTATTACACTAGAAAAAAATAGTGGTATTGTTTTTAAAACACCACAAGCAGACTGAGTATGATGCTGGTAGTTTTCACTCACTCTGACCCAGGAAAAAGAAAAAATAAGGAACAAGCAAGAGGTTAAGTATGTGCAATTTCACCAAATTAAATATAATTTACTGCACAATCTAGTTAGGTACACTGCTGGTTTTAGGACACTGTTTAAAACCTTGTGCATAGAAGCCTTAAACTGTGTTTTTATTATTTAAAATGCCTTAGTTACCCACAGCAAGCTAGACATAAATTTGCAGTGATCTTTTTGTAGCTCTCCAATTCAAATTTCAGAAACATTCAGGTAGGTTAAAAAGTAAATATAGATATACAAGAAAAGCCGTAGTATAGTCAGATTGGTGTTTTTCTGGTGGTTACTTTGATTATATTTGTCTTCAAAGCCAGGGGAGACTTCTGCAGCAGCAGAGTAGCTGGCAAGTCTGTATTTATCTTTACTCCTTTTACTCCACTGTGTGCCCATGTGATTTGTGATCTGGCTCCCATCACATGAGCAGTTTGAAGCACTCTGTCAGTTGTGTGTGTGGGAACGAGGCAGACCCACAAGGTTCCTTGATTTATGTGTTTTTATTCCAGTAATAAATGATTGCATAATTTCCTTTTCCAACTTTACCTCCCATTTCATACATGAGAGATTTGTTAATAATTTTTAATACTTTTTTTTTTTGAGTGAGGGCTTACAAGTGATTATCCAGCAGAAGATTCAAATCATATTTGTATTAGAGGTACCTTGAAATGATCTTTGCTTTGGCATCTTTTCCTGTTGAAACTCTAATACTATTTTTATTTTAAAAAAAATACTTATTTAGTAATTATAGAATTGAGTCTTCATGTGAATATTGCAAAGTAATAATAACAAAGGAATGAATAAATTTATTCTAATTATGGTGGAAGCTGGTATTTAGAGCA